GTTTTGTGCTCGTCTTTCTCCTGGGCACTGTCCCGAAGTTTTTGCACTTTTCCTTTGTGCTTCCTTCAGTTCTTGTAGACCTACATTTGGAATGTCACCTTTCGATATATGCAGGGGTGTGATGTCTTGCTTGCTTGTTTTTCTTGAGCTCTTGTGGTGACTGCAGATGCCTTATCAGTTACCTTTATGTATGGTTCCTCCAAACTTCTACTACCTGGTATATTGCAAATCACCAAGTCATAGCTGGACACCTTCATACACAAGGCCTCCAGGTCTCCCACATAGTATGGATTGTCCTCGTTTATTTTTGCTATAGGAAACTTTATCACTATCCTATCTACCAGCACACTCAGATGTATCTTGTCCATCATCTGGTCATCATATAATAGACTGGGTTTCACTGCTGCACCCAATATCTCCTAGGACTTTCACTTTCTTGTTCTTGACATAGCCTTCACATACTGGCATGTTGTGGTTTGTTGGCACCTCTCGACGTTTGTCACATTCTCCAGTCACCACAGGCATTGTTGACCCATTTGCTAACTTGAGTTGACCATCAATCATTCACTGTCTAATCATGGTGATAGCCCTTCCTTCTTGTGGTGAAACTGATGAGTTGCTTTCATTCTGTTTCTTCTGGCGGCAGCATCCATAGTGACAGTCACCTTTTTCTTGTTTCTTGCTAGCACTGTTTTTGTAGGTAGCTCCAGCTGCCTTATGTTGAGATTTATACTGTAACTCGTGATCAATTTACACTGACTTTTAATGTTCCTCATTTTATAACAACCATAGCATATATTTTCTTCTTTGTTTGTTAACTTCTTGTCACTTTGGCGACATCCTGCTTCTGGTCAGCCACCCCTGGTTTCAAGTTTAACTGTTATTCCCGAACTTACCAGTTATACTACCTCCATATACTGTTCTGCCAGCTTGCTCACCTCGTCCACATCTTTTGATGCTCTCTTTTTGGACCTGGCATGGCCAGGTGGTTGCTGTGTTCGACTCTCAAGCTGTGGGTCGCGGGTTCGAATCCCCATTCCACCAAACATGCTCGCCCTTTCAGCCGTGGGGGGTGTTATAATGTGACAGTCAATCCCACTGTTTGATGGTAAAAGAGTAGTACAAGAGTTGGCAGTGCATGGCGATGACTAGCTGACTTCCCTCTAACCTTTCACTGCTAAATTAGGGATGGCTAGCACAGTTAGCCTTCGTGTAGCTTTGTATAAAATTCATAACAAACAAACAAACAATCTATCTTTTCTTAAGAATAAGGACATGTCAGTAGAGCATGTGATTATAAGCTGTTCACGTATTAATAGCTCTGTCAGTCTTTCACACTTGGTCAAGTCAGTCCACCATGTGAAGTATTACCATAGACGGGGCAAACAGAAATACAGTTTTTCCAGGGTCAAGTTTGACTTCTCTGAACTTCCAGTTAAAACCTTCCTTGGTAAGCTCATAGCGTTTCAGTAAAGCCATTTATGTCATAGTCCATGACATCTTCTGATGTTATGCCCACATACACGTGTAGGTCAATTCCTGTGAGAAGATGGCTGAGATAGACTGCCAAGTTGCATTTGTCCCAGTTCAGACTTTAAATGAATCTATCATACCTCTCCAGGAAAGCATCCATGTCGTCTTTCTGTTCCTCAGATTTGGGC